TATATTATATGAATTATTCTTTCTCAGTTTACATAAAGAGAAAAACAAAGCAATAAATGTTACAAATCAAAACAAGTAACTGATAATGGACTATGGAAATAATTACAATGACATTAATTTGTATATTTAATATGATGAAAATCACACAAGGAAAAGGAGGTAGAGAGCAGGGTGCCAGGCAAGCCTTGGGGACTGCTTAGGGGACCTGGGAAGGATGGTTGAAAAAGTCAGTTGACTTAGTAAGAGCCCAGGTTAAGAGGTGCTACAATAACTCTAAACCCATAAAAGGGCTCTGGTCCCATCTTATGACATTTTATTCTTTAAAGTTCTGATGCAGTAATAATGATTGTTGACCAGTCAAGAATAAGTAGTCAGCTATTCAAACTTGTGGGGCCAGCAAGATGGCTCAGGAAAGTGCTGGCTGAGCATGACATCTGAGTTTGATCCCTAAACCCATGACAAAAAGAAAGAACCAACTCCTGAAAGCTGTTCTCCAATGTCCACACATGCCATGGCATGCACATATACACACGCACACATACACACACTAACAAATTAAATAAAATAAAACTGAACTTACAGCTAACTGGGCTTGTAAAATCTGCATGCTCAGGAAAGCAAAATAAGAAGGGGAAAAATACCCAGTAGGAGGAGATGCAATAGGATGGGTTCCCAGAAGCACCCCAGGAACCAATAATTACCCTCGTTCCACTAGGAAGGTATCACGCCAAATTTTGATCTTCTTGTTTGCTCGAAACCTGAAAGCAAAATATTTACAGCTGGCATCTAGATGTTTTCCCAAATGGATCTGTGCTAACAGTTTATTTAAAGAAACACCTCTCACTTCCCATAGACCATGGCTGCATCTCCATCAATGTGCAATCCACAAACAGCCTAGCAAGGCTCAGCTCAAAGTCGTCTTCAAGGGGAAAGCTTATTTTGCCTCCATTATTTTCACCTGCTGGCTTGCTCTGGGGACCAGCGAGTGCTGGGGGCTTGCTGAGAGAAGATATGCTGGCATACCTGTTACCTGGCTTTTCCAGGTCTAGGAGTTTGAGGACTGATTTGCCATCCACATCAGGAGGAGTGTCGAGCCCCGCAATATCGAGGATGGTTGGAGCCAGGTCAATGTTCAGAACAATATGTGGGACTCTGCAAAGAGACAGACAGTTCCAGGTAAGACCTAAAGCCAGTAGCAGGTGGCATTAGAGCTGCTCTTTCCACAGCCATAGCTCACTGGCCCTCAAGCCCCCTCACCCTCTCATCCGTTTCCCTGGGAGGGGTGAATGGTGAGCAGCAGTGGCCACAGATGTGCACTGGGCCATGCATTTGTGAGATATATGCTTTTTCTAAAACCTGATAGTTCATAACTCCTCTTGAAGGATGGCTTTCAACTAAATATTCTAAGAAATGACACACAGTTTTTAGAGTTGCCTTATGACTAAAACTTTCAATGCACAAAGCTTTCTAACTACAGATATGACTATTTCTAGAGGATTTCTAATAAAATAATTTTTTTTATTTTTAAATTACTTATTTAATAACCACATTATTAGACGAAACATTTCATTACAGTATTAACATATTCAATAACAATTTCCAGAGCAAAGATGCATCTCTTTCAAAATTGGCTGTAAATTTTTAGGTTCACAGTTGAATTAATACAGTTATACAATATTGAACTCAATATAAACCCTATAAGACATAAAATTGAATGAGGTTTTGACCTTTAAAAAAGATCTCCATTTCATTTTAAAATATACTGTTAAAGTTAATTTTTAAAGTTAACAAACAAAGAAATGGGTCTCATGATGACATTTTCATTTATGTGTGTGCATATAACGTGTGTGTGGTTACGTTTTGCTCTTACCCATTCCCCCACTTTCCTACCCGATCCCTTCTTCTCCCTTTTCCTGGTCCTCAAATAGTCAACTATTTTTGCATTCATATATTATATATTCCGTTATCTTCCTTTCATGACCTCAAGAGACATCATAACCTTCTCTAAAGAACCCGTCTCATCCCATTACCTTCTCCCAGGACAAGTGTGACACAGCAGCAGATAAGACCCTGAATATAAGACTTAGAATCCTGGATTTTGGGCTCCCATGGGGCCACTCTTCAGCATCAGGGATGCTGTGAAAGGACCTTGTCTTGTCTGTCCAGCATCCTCCTACTTTTATCATGGTAGATGTTGTTTGGAATTCTACTTCTACTTAAAAAAATATTTTATTTATTATTTTATGTGTATGAGTGCATTGCCTACATGTATGTAAGTGCATCTGTGTCATGCAGTGCCCAAGGAAGTCAGGAGAGGGCATTGGATTCCTCTAGAACTGGAGTTACAGATGATTGTTAGCCACCATGTGGGTGCTAGGAATCGAACCCAGGTCCTCTGCAAGAGCAGCTGGTGCTCTTAACCACTGAGCCATCTCTCCAGCCCCATCTACTTCTACTTTTTTCTTTTACTATTTCCATAATTCTCTTATACACATGATCTCATTTTATATAAAGCATGTTGATATGGTAGGCAAAGCACTTGAATACCTGTTTCTATGATAGAGGGGTAGAAAGGGATGCAGTGACTAGCCTACATGACAAAAGTCTAGCTCTTTAAGTCTCTTTTGTCTTCAAATAAAATCATGCATTTTAACATTTAATTTTTTTTGAAGATTAAAAACTAAGAGGATAGCGTTATAAAAAGTGGCACTGTACCTCTGCCTCAGAGAGGAATGATGTTCCCAAAGATCACATTCTGTCTCTGTCTACAGGCCAAAAGACCACCACAAATTTGAGAGAATTAGTCATTGATACAGGTATTTTTCCTCTGCCTTTAAACATTATACTTCAGTTACTATGTGGCAGGGAAGATTTTCACCTTGTAAATTTCCAACCTATATGTACCCTTTTTAGTTTTCGATGGAAGGAAACCAGATGTTGAGATTGGTAACTGAATTATCTTAGCTGCAACAGCCCCTTGCTACTAAGAAATACTTACATTGACCCTGGTTCTACACTTGGACCACGAATAAAGAAAGGCACACGGATGTCAAAGTCATATGGCATGGATTTCCCCTTGACCAGGCCAAACTGCCCAATATGGTAACCATGGTCAGCAGTGTAGATGATGTAGGTGTTGTCTAGCTCCCCCGTCTCCAGGAGCATGTTATACAGCTAGAACAGAGCACAGCACAAGTCAGAGCCAAGTGGGACACACAAGATGACATGCCATTAAGTTGTCACAATTTTCAAGTCTTTTTCTTGATTTTTTGTCATTTTTTAAAAAACCAAGAGTTGAGGCTGGAGAGATGACCCAGCAGCTAAGAGCTGTCGTCCATTTGTTGCAGGGGCTCTGACGCCCTCTTCTGGCCTCAGCAGGCACTGAATGCATGAGGTATACTTATCATGCAAGCAGGCAAAGCACTCATACACATAAATATTTTTTAAAGCTTTACTAAGGTAAATGGACAGTACTCACATTTTCTAACTGCTTACTATCGTAGCAGGAAAAGGTCCAGTACTGCAGTTAAACCATGACTTTTTTTCCTATCTAGCCCATTCTACTTACAGAATTGTTACCTGTTTGTTAAAGTAAGTATGGTAACAAAACAAAAGAACAAACCACCTCCCCTCTAGGACCTTTAAAGATTTTACTTTGAAAAACCCGTGATTAAGGAAATTTTAACTTCATCATTCTTTTATTTAATTATCAAGGGTTAAAAATCCAACACAGGTATATCTAGTCATAGGCATATCTTGTTTGACTTATGGCAGATTTTAAAATTAGGAAATTTCAAATAAGTTTTTAAATTGCTGCCTTCTTTTAACATTAGAATATGTTCATACTTGATTTCCATTTTTACATGGCAAAGATTACTGGAGTTAGTTGTTGCTGTTTGCGCTAGATTTAAGTTCACCACAATCATTACCAATCCCTATTGTTTTAGTTATTGATATTATTTGTTTAATTTCTGAAGGCATTTTAAGGTATGAACCCTGACTTGTGATAGTTTGACCTTTCTATACTTTGTCACTGGCTCCCTAAGAACCAAATCTGAATAAAAAGAATGAGTGGGGACTAGAAAATTTTCCATATGCAACAGATGGTGATTAACATAGAAACCCACAACTGACCAACGTGCAGTGAACAAGAGACTGCAGAGCGTTTATCCCTGAATAGGACACCTACATCAAACTTCTGCCTCCCAAAGGTTAGGGATCATTGTGGAAGAAGAGGCAGAAAGATTGCTAGAGGCAGAGGTGATGGATGACCACAGGAAACAGAGTTTTCCAGGCAGCTGGGCAGTTATTCATATGAAGTCGCAGCAACAATGACAACATGGTCAAGTCCCATGAAGGCTGAAACCAGCCAAAATCCTAACATAGACATGAAAAAGTGGCTAAGAAGCTCCAACCCCACCTCCGGAAACTGTGTCAACAGATGGCTGCTGGGAGGGATGAGAGATAGTCTCTTTTAAGCATGGGACTCTTGGTAGGTTAACCAGGCTCCAGTGGATGGACCCACACTGAAGCTGAAGGACATTTGGAGATGCAAATTAGACTCTCTAGGCCTTATTATATATGGTAAAGTACATTAAATTGAGCAGGGGGCAATAAGGAGAGGTACGGATAGGGGAGGGAATCTCAATAGTTAAATTATATTGCATAAAAATCGCAAAAATTCAATTTAAAAAAGGGATGAGGAAATCACTTATAAGAGATTATACTTATTCTCTCTTAACATAATGTTAGGAAATCAAAACCAGATTGATAAGAATGCGTCTATACACTGGAAGCTAGTTGAAAACCTGTCACTGAGGCCCTGGGTGCTCTTACCCTCTCCACAGAATCATCCACTGACATCAAAGTCTGGAGCCTTTTGCGCTGGAGGATGTTGGTGAACTCCATGTGGATAGGAAGCATGGGGCCCGTGTACTGCATGATCCAATGTTTATCCATGTTCGGTGCATAGTTATAACTAGGAGTTCTGAAAATATCCAGAAAAGAATCTTACAACATAAACTTTTCTTTATTTTACTTAGTCATTTAGGAAAACATTTCAAGTTAAAGGTTGTGAAATAATCACTTCAGAAAGATACTTTAGACACTGCTAAGTGTTCTTCTCTCTAGCATCTGGAAATTTCTTGGAGTTTATGAGCATATCCACAGTCCTCTCCACCCCAAACAGCATATACCTTCTGCAGGTATGTAAATTCAAAGTGATAAACCAAGACTAGCTGCTGAATATGTAATTAATTCAAGTTCATTTGGGTTCAGTGAATAAAATGAACACGCAGCATTCCAGATGTGTACACTTGTATTACAGATTCACAGACAAAACCCAGAAATGCAGAAGGGAATGTTCTCAGGGTGATTTAACACATAAAAATCTTTATTCCTAATTAGCTTATTAAATAAAGTCACAAACGTTATATGGGAATGTGTTGAATCACAATCTCAACACATTTTTTTTTCTTGAATCTCTTAAGAGCATCTCATTGATCACTTCTACATCTCCATGAGTTTCCCTTGTTACTAATGCTGTATATTAAAACCATTAATTTAATTATAGTTGCTAGAATAATGGCCAAGACTATTGCTGCGATTTATACATTTACCAATAAAGCCACTTGTCTCATAGACAAATCAATATGGGTAAAGGATGTGTTTTGTTAACTACAGGCAAATAGGGCCTTTTATTCTAGAATAGGTTACCTTATACATTACTGAATGGATTGAGGAGATCTATATGGTGTCAGCTGCACAACACTGGGGACTCTCAAAATACACAATTTTCCCTTCGAAGTCCCTAATTCCCACTAGATGCTATCATCTCACGCTCCTGAAGTGCAGGGTGCTAGAGAGATTCTTTTACAAAGTCACCACTAGTCAGTCACTCAATCCTTCTCTTTAAATACATTTAAAAGCACATAGAGGGTATATTTACTATGTGCCAATATTGTGCAACATATTTTATATATATTAACTCATGCATTTGTTTCAGTTGTTCTGCTTAGTAGGTTTATTATCGTCATTTTATTGAAGAGAAAACTAAGGTTTAATTCAACAAAGGTAAGTTCTATAGTTTAACAAAGCTGGTGGAATCAAGTCTGGATTCCAAAGCTTATGTGCTTTAACAAAATGAACAAGAAGTGAAAGCACTCCATCTGAGTGCCTTTAGTTCAAACCACAGCTTTACAAATAGCCAGTCTTGTAGAATAAGCAACAGATTATATTGACTGAGAAACCTGGTTATCTGTCTCTGTCCTAGGGAGATTCCTATAGGTAAAAAATTGTAGATAAGGACAGAAGAGGAGCCTGGAAACAGTTCCTGTGAACCAGGTGATTTCAGGAGACCTCACTCTGAGTAAGGAGAGTACCTTACTGATTGTGTAATAGCATGAATTTCCTAAAAGGAGTTGTTCACATGGTTGTACACTAGGACATTCTCACTGAGCCACATAAATGCCACCTGTTGTTACACATTTTCTACTGCCAAGAGGGTGACAGAACACCATTCAAAGAGTGGAAAATGTTAAGTGGTGCCATGCACCTTCCGGTTCCCCACAGTTACTCTTATGATCGGTAGGGATGCTCATTAAAAGGCGTTTAATAGCATAGGTACCAATGAATCTCTGAAGACCCTGTTCCCACCTGCCATTCTTTCCCAGCATAACTTTCCTTTCCTCTTTCTTTCTTTTTTGAGACTATGTCAAAGTTTCAAAAAAAAAAAAAAAGAAAAAAGAAAACTTTAAAAAAAGCCTTTGCTGTCTACCAAATAGCTGATTTGTGTGCCATTTGGTCCAGGTTTTGGATCTAGAAGGGTTCCTCCTGTTTAGAAGTGAGCTACGGGAGGGAAAAGGGTTCAAGGAAGGACAGAAGTCTGTCTTTCTCATTGCCTGCAGAGCCACGTTACAAACAGGATTAGGTTAAGAATCTGAGGACAGAGGGGCTTCCAAATCCCCTTGCAAGGGTTTTGCACCCATGGGGGTAGGGTGAGGTCAGAGAAAGACAGCACATTGGTCGTGAAAGGTCTCCTAACCCATTTACCAATCGTGCCCTGAAAGGGGATACAGCTGTAGAAGATTACACAGGGTTTCTGTATAATAAACATCCTCCCCTTTCTGTCTTTGAAGTTGGGTCGGCTTAATTTAAAAATAAATCTAGTTGACTTTTTTAAAACCACAAAACCTCAATGCAAATAAAAATTACAATAGGGGACCAACTTGCAGGCTCACAGTGGGCAAATTACATCTTCCACCAGTTACCTTGATGTGCTTGGCCCAGCCCCACCTTACTTTGAGGAGCCGGGAAGCTTGCAGCAAATTACAAGCCTCAAATTGGACTCCTGGATTTACCGAATGACATATGTTAAATCTGGCTTATATTAAAAGGGAGAGTTCGGGACCTGTTGTCAAAGCTGTCCATCCCTCCCCTGCAGTTTTCTGACTTTTCTCAATATGAGAGATGACCCCTAGCTTAGAGGATGACATTCCAGGTGGGATCCCAGCGGGTGGCATGGATCTGGGGCATACAATTGCCTTTTAAAGGAAGACAGACTGCCATTACTCCCCCCAGAACAGCAGCTGTTTAGGGACCTGCAGGTGGAAGGTCCAGGTTGCTGGAATTGACAACACTGTTGAAATGTGATCCTTTGCCAAAGGCCCGTGGTTGCCTCCTGCTGAGGTCTGCCAAATTCCTTGAAGATGCAGCCTTCTGTCCCCCAACCCCCCCCCCCCCCAGTGATAATTAAAGCTTGCTTCACCAAGGACTGACTTCAATTTACTGAAACAGGGCTTCGAACTGTCAGCTGGGACACAAGTCACTGAAAGAAGTGAGGAGTTGTTTTAGGTTAAACTGGAAAAACTGCATCTTTGGTTGTCCACAAGGTTTGGGAGTTGGATCTAATTTTTGTCTCAACTTTTGTGATGTACTACTTTGTGATTCTAAACGGTTCTTTTCTTTGGGGGTGAAGCTTCAGTTTCTTCATCCTTACAATGAGAATAAGGACTTTGCAGAGTTTTTGTGAAGGCTGAGAGATTTCTGTGGCTCTTGAAAGCAAATTCTGGGGTCACAAGCTACTCCTGCTTACAGAAGCCAGGAGGGCTCTTGTCATTTAATGGCTCCCTAGGGCATCTTGGTCCCTTTTGGTAAAGAAGAAGGTAAAACGCTCATACTGGTAGCTCCAGGATAGTGTTTCTTCTAGATGTTGCACTGGCCCAAGTCCTCCATCATGTCCCCACACAATGCCCCCTCCAATCCCAACGTTGACCCAAGTCTTCAGTCATGGCGCCACAGAGCTACCTCCATCCCAGGGGTTACAAAGAGAACGGGTGAGTGCTTTTTTCCTGACAAAACAGAGAACTGCCACCTTTAGCTTTCACCCCAAAATAAAATGCTTAGCTAGCTACTCAAGTGCCTTCTCCCTACTGTGGAATATCAACTTTTGTTGCAAACACAGTCTTACCCTAGAAGACCCGTTGGATGCATTGAGCAAAAAGACAGATAACATTGTCTATTGCTTTAGAAATGAGGACAAAGAACTGTCTTTTGAGTTTCTGTGCCTTCTAAAAAAAAACCAGAGTGTTTCAGAGGTATAGTCGTCTCACATGCCTAGCTTGGTAAAACTTTCTATGGTCTATAAAATAAGGGTTTTAAACACATCTATGTATCTCCAAAATATAGCTGTAGCTCTCCATAGAGTATTCCTGAGCTGCAAAATTTCACAGTTTACATTTTCCCAGCAAGGCTTCCCTGAGCACTGTTTTCCTCTAGTCATGGCTTATTTGGGTTTCCTGCTCAGCATGCAGCATCACACACCTGGCCTCAAATTTAGCTCACTCTTCAACATTATGCCAATTTTCTTTGGTGTTTGATTCTCTTCCCAGTATTGCTTATTGACAAAATAGGACAAAAGATTCTGAAAATCAATAATGTCAGCGTTCTCTTTGACAGGTGGGTATTTTGAGAGAACAATTCTCACTTGAAAAGAAATAGCTCTAAGCAATGCATATGTTGTATATTATTAAATCCATGGCAGTTCATTTTTTATGCTGATGGCCTTTGCAAAAGTATTTTTTGAGTCTTATACTTGAACATGTGTTTTCTTCATTTGTTTTTCATTCTCAAACATCAAGAACTCTATTGACCAAACTTAAAGGACACTGACAGATGCATCATCTGAGACATAAAGTCAGTTTCAATGCCTGTTCTACAGGCTTAGGACACACTCTCAAGGAATCACATTGGAAATTCTACCTCACTCTGCAAAGTCACATGGTCTTCAATCTCACTAAAATTGAACTTACTTAATTGATTTTTATGGAGCTATCTCCCACCTGACTTCAAATGTCTTTAGGCAGATAACATTTGAACACATGCAGAGTAAGACTAAACGATCTTGATTATAGGCATATAATAAAAATAAATTAGAGAATTGTTTAATGATGCTGAAAATGCCAACTGGAATTATGCAAATACATAAGAATCACTCTGACATTTACTGTGCTGTGTCATGAGTTGGGAGACATGCTGATGTGGGAAGATCAACTGGGTCCAAGAAAATCAAGGTTGGATTCTGACTTTGTCTCTAACTGCTCATACGTCTTGAACAATGCCATTGGATCCATTAAAACAAACAACAATACCTGGCTCCCCTCAAACCTCTGGGACTTTTTTTCTTTAATTAAAAAAAATTGTGGAATTAAGTGGATTGCTAATATTCTTTAAATTCTTGAAAAAATGTTTAGGGCTGTGTTACTATCTTTAAAAATGTCTTCATGTCAGCTGACTGGTGAGGTCAACATTATTCACTTAGTAAACAGAAATGAATTTTACAACTGTCAGGACTCAGGCTACCTAGGCCCTTGGAGATAAAAAGATGTCAAAGTAACACAGAAAAAGGCAGAGTAGGGATACAGATAAGAGACTGATTCAACCCAAATCAGAACTTTATATGGAGAATTAAAATTTTTCTTACTTTCAAAAGTGTAACCTTTCATGTATTTGTGATAGAGAGATGAAAATGCAAATTCTTCTTAGGACATTTCTTTCCAGCTTTAGATGACAAAGTGTTTGAAAAACTTTGTTCTGTGACAGAGGTGTGTTTACCTTTGACCTAATGTGTTGATCCAGAAGCTTTACTTTCACAACAGTTCTTGACAGCAGACATGGTTTATTTCACCAAGGTTTTAAGCTTCTCTTGAAAGTATGTGCATGCGTGTGTGTGTGTGTGTGTATGTGTGTATGCGGGTGCGTGTGTATTTCAAGTATGGGGGAGTATGAGGACAGACCTAACATAGTGTGTGTGTGTGTGTGTGTGTGTGTGTGTCTGTGTATTTCAAGTATGGGGGAATATGAGGACAGACCTAACATACTGAGGAAGTAATTTCCTGAAGGCATAGTAGGGGCTCTGCCATAGCAAGGGGATTCCTGTTAAGGAAGGTCATCTGGATTCCTGTGATGGAGTCAATCTCTGATTTGCTGGAGGCTATGATCTACTGAGCCACTGTCTGATTAAACAGGCCCCTGTGTGCAAAGCAAGAGATAATTCGCCCTTATTCTTACTTGGGAGGCATAACCTCCACCCTCAGTTTGTTAAGCCAGCATGCAGATACTGAATTGCTTTCTCTCAGTCAGATAAGCAAACACTATGGAAACATGATACACTCTCTCCAGTGTGAGAGGGTCAGATAGCCACAGCTCAAGGCTGGATAAAAGGGATCTGAGGATGCTTGGCCACCTAGGAAGACCTAAAGCAAAACGTCCACATGACAAGCTTCTCACAACAGGGGAGAGTCTACAGGCCCTTGCTGTTTCCCCAGTGCCTGCCAAGTATTTCTTCAGAGCACTTCACTTCTTGCATCCCATTGCTTGAATGCATTGCTAATGTTTTCACTAAGGACACGGTCATTCAGTAGCTCCATGCATCACAATCCGCACCTTGTCTTTAATTTGTCTCGCTCCTTTTGTCTGGGGATTGAACTCTGAACCTGTGTGCTCTGTCCCTCCCTTCCTCCAACTGCAGCCAGGAACCCAAAGCTTCCCCACTCCGTTGGAGGCATAGTGGATCTCCACATGCTGAGTGCACAACGCCCAAGGCTTAGGGGCAAAGAAATAGAATTACCCACTGACTACATGCACGCTCATTTCCCATGGCTAGGAATGCTCTTAACCTGGCAGTTGCCTGGGGCATACATGTGCATCTGGAAAAGATAACAGCCCAGATCTGTGCATATCCCGCCTGATTTTTTTGAATGGGCAGGTGTGAAAGGCTCATCACAATGAAGTCTTAGCTTGTCAAAGGGATTTTCCATCACCATGAGCAAGTCTGGACTTGTCCTTTCTCTATTTGCTCTCCTTAAACCTTACGTTGAGCAGTATGAAATTGTATTATTTGTGAGTTAAATCATATTGGCGGTTGCAAATGGCTCATCTTAATAGAAAGGATCCATGAGAATGAACACTAATGGATTGGGTCTTTGTCCCTACGTGGGAATGTTAGCTCTGCTGCCTCTGTAAAGTTTTATTCAAGACATCACATCATGGGTGTCTCTTTTATCCCATCTTACAGATGACCCACAGAGGTTCTGAGAGGTAGAAAGAAACTGTTCATGGCCTTAGGGGTGTGAGGACAGGTGAGGTGGGCAGGCCGGAATACTTTTAACTCGGCCATGTGGAAGGTTTTGCTTTGTAGGATCAATGCTAAGGGCACAGCTGGCTCATTAGAACTATAAAGGAACAGCCCAATCGTTACATGTGGAAATGATTGAATTGGCTCATATTTTCTCATTACCCTAGCTACGTACTAACTCACTGATGTTCCCAATATTTTGCAACTGTTTTCCTTTCAAGTTTTACTCCTTTCTGCTTTATTTTCTAGTTCCTAGGCCACATCTTAGATTCTCCCATGTATCTGGTAAGCTTTGTCTCTGTCATACTCTGTTCCAGAAATCATCTACCCTAAAGGCTGCAGAATCCCCTGCAAACATGGTTTCCATCCTTCTAGGTCCACTTTGAATGCCTATTGGTCCATTCCTCCAAAACATGTGATGTTTTCCCCTAGTGCTCTGTGGTCCTGAGATTGCCTACTCTACACTTGCCAGTTCTGGTCCCACTGGTGATGTGACTTACACGTCGTCTTCTTCCTCTTCCGCCAAAACCCTGATCTGGACAAACTTTATTGTGCAAAGGATTAACTAGTAAATATTTTAAGTTTTACAGGTCAGGCCACAACGCCTCTTGGCTGGTGTATTGTGAAAATAGTTGCAGACAATATATAATGAATGAACATGGCTGTATTTGAATAAAACTTTATTAATAAAGCTGGATTGGATTGTGAACCAGGGTATATCAACCCTTTCCTAGCTTATTGGTTTTTAAGGGTTACTTGCTGGGCAACCCTTAACCAATCTCTGCTGTGCTGTATGGTAGTACAGGCAGCACTCATAACATATTTTTGGAACTAATCAGAAATTTCAATGTTAAAGTCCGAGGTGAATTCTTCAAATCTACTGAGCACTGAGAATCCTGCAGACTCCTCTCCACATGCAATTATCCTCTGCACATGCAACTCAGCTGTCAGAACCTCTTGACCTTGCTGGTTTTCCTGTAGGCTCAGGACCTTGCCTTGAAACTTCAAAGGCAGGGTGACCTCTAAATTACCATGAAACACCATATTTCATCAACCCTTACTCTGCAAACCCAGGGAAACTCCTGTAAGGTGTAGGGCTGTATAAAGTCTCTCTAGGCTAGGATGATGTTAATGCAACAAAGAAGCTATACAAAGTGATTTCTGATTGAAAAGTAAAGGGAAGGGTGAGTTTCAGGGTATTGAGGAAGGCTGTAAGACATTTTCCTCCCACTGAACAGGCTGGCTGTTGAATCTGTAACTGAGTCACTTGCCGAGTAGCTCATTAATAAATTCTTCTGCAGAGTTAGTAATAGGCAATGTCTTCAGAGGCTTGTGTATCTGCCTGTACAGTTGAATCCAAAGCAAAATGGCTTATCCAGATCAGATTCCCCAATTGCTGGAACAACCATTTATATATATATATCCATCTTTCTTTTTTAAAATATTTTATTTATTATTTTAATTTTATGTGTATGAGTGTATTGCCTGCATGTAGGTAAGTGCGCCCATGTCATACAATGCCAGCGGAGGACAGAGAGACTGCTGGATCCCCTGGAACTGGAGTTACAGACAGCTAGCTGCCATGTGGGTGCTGGGATTCAAGCTGGGGCCTTTTGCAAGAACAGTCAGTGTTCTTACCCGCTGAGCCATCTCTCTAGCCCCTATATCTCCATCTTTCATGAAATGAAATATTTGTATCCTATAGGACATGTACAGTAGGTAACCCACTTCACATCCTATTTATTATCAGTTCCTGTCCTAAGTCATCTCTGACCACTTTCTTTTTAGTCCTAGTCATTTGATATGATACTCATGATCTATCTATCCCTGACTAGAATATAACCAAAAACTTCTGTGATACATAGTGGCCAGACATTACAGTCTCCTAAGTGGCTACTTATTTATTTCCTTCAGGTTCTTTCTGTCTGGGCTTTCATTGGAAAAGCCAGGGGACATGGCATTTAAGCACAACTAGATCAAGAACCAATTTCTGAGGTTTATGATAATCGCTCTCAGTTCCTTGTTCTCTGGCTTTTAAATGGGCAAGCATTCAGCAGTCCCTGTGCTGGCTGCCCTGTGTGGAAGGCTGCTTATTGGCTGTGATGGCTGGGAGAGACTGTGTTGACAGAGTCAACAACAAAATTACATTCTTTACTGCCAAGGCACTTTTCCACCCTTGGCTAGTGAGGATTATCAGCACACAGAAGCTCTCTCCATCCCCCTATCCTTCCATCCCCCTCTGCCACTGGGGCCTCCCCTGTCCCTCCACACCCCCTCCTCTCAAGATGAAACATCAGGTTATTTTAAAGCCGTGACCTGAGAGGGCCTCCCAGGCAAGTCACTCTAGTTGCCTTCTGCACAAACTTAATTGCACATCTGCAGCAAAGCTGCTCCTGTGTTCCCCAGGAAAGAAAATGAAGCCACATTTCTACAGCGAGTGTGGAGCGAGGCTGAGACGCTGCTTTGAAAAACATACTATTCCCATCTGCATTATTATTAGATCATACTCACGAATATTATTTAAGACGTCGAAAGGAACGCTAGGTGGAAACTGCCCCCATTTACTTCTTCATTAGCTACCGACAGACACTGGAAATGTGATTGCCCATCAGAACCTCTAGCCGCACTCTCTACAGTGAATCTGGCAGCTCTATCTGTTCTATGCTGTGACCTCGGTTCGCATCCTGATGCTTTTAGCCAATGCTTTTAGCCAAGCAGAGGAGAAGGAAACGGGAAAGAGGAGGATAAGATGGGCAGCACAACAAGGGCTGTGCGTGCCAGGGCACAGCGTCGATGTCATTACTCACATGTGTTGGGAGGCATTGGGGTACAGTTTTGAAAACTGTGGGGCCGAGTCCTCAGGGCCGTGGGGTGCTGCGTGGCTGATCACCATCATAATGGGCCTATGGGGATACATTCTCTTAGACATTTTGAAGTAATTAATGCTCTCGTTAGTGATTAAGTCTGTGAAGTAGTCCTGAAACATTTGACACAAAACAAAAATTACAAAAGTGACATTCAAGATCACATCTGAACAGCGCTTTCCTCAGAAAGGCACCTTCCAAGTAGCAAAATCTTCAAGAAAAGAGAAAATCACTGGCTGTTAATTTCTAGGGTAGGTGGCTTAGTAACATGCAAAAAAAAAGGGGGGGGTATTTTACGTGATGCACAATTTAGCAATTAGGGGAGAAAAAAAAGCAGATCATGTTTGCCTAAGATAATGATCAAGACTGGCAACACAAATTCGAGAACATTTGAAACACCGGATACATAACTCATGTTCAGGTTTCATTGATGTAACTCCTTGGCAAAAAATTTAATTACTTCAAGGGCAGGAAACACCCACACCCACTTCACATTCACAGTTGCAGAACACACACACACACACACACACACACACACACACACACACACACACACACACACACACACACCAAGAAAGGCTTCTTTCTTCAAATTACCAGTCTACCTGTAGGAATAACGCCATGATCCCTAATCAAAAGCATGATCAAAATCTGGAAGCAGAGAGACAAGCTGCACGATTTTATCAAGTAATTTACTAGAAACACTTAAACATGGGGAATAGTTGATTTCCTGCAGCTTATTCTGTGTTAATTGCACAACAAAAGTAATACAGCTGCGGGGATTAGAGTTTGACTTACTAATAAAAACGACTTAACCCACCATCAGGGGGGCTGATGGGAGGAAATGGAATGAAAAGGAGAGAAAAGATGAGAGCTTAAATTAAACCACCTGCTTCCTCTAAGTGTGTATCACTGGCTGGAGCTCTAGCATAAGCTTTCCTCAGAAACTCCTAGGCAATGGTCACAACGTCAAAGACGTCCAGGCTAGTCACATGTTATGGATTTAAAGACCAGAACAGCTGCAGAAGCAGTGCTAAAGGGATGAAATCTGTGTCACATGCCCTTGTTAGGACGAGTCCACAGGCTGTCCCTCTTTTCCACAGGGGAGTCTGTTTCATTTCTTTCTTCGCTAAAGAAGAGAAAAGCAATATATTCTTTTCGGACACAGTTGTCTTTGACACTTAATCAGCTGTGATAATGAGCAAGTTACGCTGATTTACTATTTAGAGAGAATCATGATTACTTTGTCCTCCTCAGGACAACAGGGAATGAAAGGTTAATAGCTTGAACAGGGAGCATGAAAGGATCCCCACAGACCGAGAATGGTAGCAGTGACAATTAGTGTACATGGCATGCGTCATTTGTCTGCAATGACTGTATCCCCAGCCAGGGAAATGAACCAGGGTACATGTGTGGCTGAACCACTTTAAACTGATTTATCTTCATTTTTTAAAACGAGGACATGACTCAAATTTGCATTAAGGCCCCTGCCAGCCCTCAACTTTGAGGGTCTAGAAGCCTGTTAGCAATGTTTGCGAGCTCATTGCATTCATTGTTTTCTGAAGGGTATGAAAGATTGGGACATACACCTCCTCTCTCCCCAGGTCCATTGTGCATAAATCAGTCCAAGTCAAAGACAATGGCATGCCCACAACATTAAATCAAGTTCCCTTCTTCCCTTTCTACCAAGTGCCTTAGCCTGTTGAGACAGGTTGCTAGATCCACCTGACTTTTGACATCTCCTAGGTTAATGAGGTGGATAGATCCAGAAGGAAAGGAAATATATTAGGAAAGTCATTAGGCTGAATTTAAAGATTCTTTCCCCTTCAATCTTATCTCAAGATATTAGACTTTTTCAAAGTCTAGTAATTACAATACTTTTGTGATTTTTTTTTTCTTTTCTTTTTTTTTTTTGACATGAGGTCTCACTAAGTACTTTTGGGTGGCCTTGAACTCTTTATCCATCTGCCTCAACTTTCCAAGGTTAGGATTAGGGTACATGCCATTGTGCCCAACTTACTTTTGAGGACTTTTAAATCTAGGTTCTACTTTTCAGTGACCATGGGACAGTTCTATAGATGGACTTTGATAGCTTAAGATCGACAGTATTGGAGACTTTTGTGGACTTTCATTGCTGTGGGCCAGACGTCTTTGTCACAATTACTAAGCTTGACCAGATGGAAGTAAACACAAGCAATAGTTTTCCAACCCTTAATGACTGTACTGGTCTGCTCTTATTTTCACATATAAAGTCTGAAGCCACAGACAAAACATACTTTGAACCATTAAAAAGCAAAACAGTACAAGACAGACATTTGATTATGTGGACAAGCCCTCCAGAGAGTGGCAAAAACAACTATCACAAGACAGGGCAGAGGAGGTATGAGTTTCTTGATGGTACTTTCATCAAAGACTGATTGCCTTTCATCCTAATGAGGGAGGGAAAAAGCACTGAGTATACAAAGACGGGGTTCCTTGAGAGGCCCTTTCTTGCTTGGAGTTGGAAATTACCTTAAAATTTCTCATTCTAACATTGTGAGAACACAGAAAGCCCATCTTGGGGATAGTTTAACTCACTGAAAATGGCTTTTCCCCATTATGCGCAGAAGTAAATTGATGCAGCTTTACACCGAAAATTACCTTTGCATAATCAAATCCATGCTTTTCTTTGATGCCATTGCGACAAACAGTGTAATTACAGAAACGAGAATTCTTGATTAATCCAAGCTAGTCAAAAACAAATGCATAAATATGAAATTGGAACCTGAAAAAAGTGATGGGGACATGAAAATTAATCAGGTAACAGTGGCACCAAAAGAAAACTCCCATAATACAGTTCTCCAGCCCTTTGGCAAAATGACACAGACACACATTCTGTTTTTAAATATGTGTAAGTAGCACCAAAGTACATGGATTATGGCTCAATAAGATCACCATGATGATTATAGCACTCTGGGGAATCTATTTCTTATGATTATCCTGGAATAAAACCAGAATATATTCTTTTGTTTAGTAGACATAAAGGGCCGGGAAATAGCCAATGAGAGCTCTGGGATACTATTGCTGGGATATGGCTAGAAATCCAAAAGTCAGTCTTTGCGACAACATGAAGTTTCCATCTTATTATTTGAGTAGCAAATCACAGAAAAACTATGAAGAAATTTGGTTTTCACATATCCAGAAGAGACATTTTCCTAGACTTTCCAGTCCTTCTCCAGCTAGCAGAGCCCCTCAGCGTGTGCTTTTGTTTCCACCTCTCTTCCTTGGCTTGGTGCTAGACTCTGTATTTGCCTCTTGGCTGGATTGAGGCCCGAGTAGATGCTATTTCACTCATAGTTCTGTTTCTTGTGGTTCTAATGCGCCTTCCCTTTCTCGATCACAGCATAGTCGGGCTCATGCACAGGCTGAGTCCCCTTCAGTGGAAGCTTTCCAATTTGTTTATTGCATGGTGGTATAATTGTTTAAGACAGGGTCTTGATATGTTGTTGTCTTCTAACTTACTAGATTGTCAGGCTGACCTTGAACTTGCAACCCTTCTGCTCCTGTCTCTGCCTCCAGGTGCAAAAATTATAGTCATGTACCTTTGTGCCCACCTAAACCTCACCTCTGTGGTCCACCCTCCATCCCTATACAGCACAGGGCTCCACCATTGTTTCTTAAACTGAGGTCTGTGGACCTAGAATGTTCTAGGGATTTTATAAGTTCTAGGATTTTTTAAAAAAATCTGTGTATTCATTTTAGTTACAAATTTTAAAAGCTGATCTGGTCTTCTAACATATTTTCATAGAATATAGCTTTAGGGTGTTTGAAATTGATGTTACACCTTAGTTTTATTTTCTTTGAAAAAATGTGGACATGAGTCTGTTTATTTGTTGGATGAATATTTTAAGGAATCTGTGAGTAAGTGAACCAACCAAGTGGCCCATCTCCCCAGTGTCTGATGCTTGAGGATCCTGTCCGCTCCCCCGCCCCCAACTACTAAGCAGTTTGATGAATGATGGGGGCAGGCAGGGGGTCAGAGAGTCTTTGCAAGACCCTCAGGCTTCCTCCCTGGGCTGACTATGTGCAAGTGGAATTCTTGTGTTTACCGTACACGGCTTTTTCACAGAGAATTGCAAAGTGATTTTTTTTTCTGGCAAAATTCAGTTTGACTTGGAGTTACAGGCTGCAGACCAGGGCCCTGTCCCATCAGTCCTGAGTTTGAGAGGGGACTGTCTGGGGAGCCTTATACTTAGTAATCCTGGGCATAGGTCTCGTCTTTGACTTCCTCCTTATCCTTAGGAGCTTACCCTACTTTTTTGCCCATTTTTTGTCAGAGAGATTTGTAAAACATAGCGGTGTGGAAAGTGTACTTGAGAGTCATCCTCCCAGGTTAAATGCTGGCTATTTGCTTTGCCAGTTTTCTGAAGACTTGTTCCTTCACCTCTCCGTTCTTTACTCTCTGGAGAGTCCAGCTCCCAAGGATAGTGGCAGGGTTGTTTTATGGACCAAATGGAGCTGATCCTTACTTAAAGCAGCGTCTCACCCATATGGGAGGCTTATCAAGTGCTGCTGCCTTTAGTTGATATTAAAATCACAATCACCGTCATCATTAACCCCCCCCAACTTAAAATACTTTATTACCATCCTGCAGTACAAATAAATCTTGCTCTAGAGTTCTGCATTGTTACATGTTGGGGCTTTTTGGTCCCCCCAGTATGACTCATTTTGTGGAAACCAATTCCCCCCCATTTGGTTTCCATTTTCTTCCTTAATTAGTTTTAAAACTTTCCCTGCGACTTTTAGTGTTAGTTTTTTCCTTCTAGGGCAGTCATGCCCAGTCATGTCTAGACTTCACTCATTGTACTTTTTAGGTCACTTTGTACTATTTCTACCCATTGCCATGGCTATCGCCCTTTGCCTTAATCCTTCCTTTATAAATGACTTCTTCAAGTCTCTTAATAGTTCTTGTTACAGCCTTCAGAACTCCCTCCAGGTTTTGGGTGTCTTTGTGTTAATGGAGTGTGAAAAAATGTACCCAGGATTCCAGATGTGCCCTCGCCCATCATGCTCAGTCCAAGAGAGCCCAGGCCCAAGATGCAGCACCCAGTACTGCAGTGAGAGTCATGCTGACCCTTTCAGGGCCTCATGACATCCATCCAGACTCATTTGTAATCACTCTTGGCTTCTTTGGGCATTACATTTCTTGGCAGTGCTCTGCAACTGATTTCCTGGGCTTCTAATGACTTTGTTCCACATGTATTATGTATCTTACTCTTTCCCCAATATAAACTGTATTTTCAGGTCCATTGTATCTATGGACAGATGATAGACACTGAATTTCTCTCTCCTTTGGCAATGGCAATTCAACTGAACATGTTACCTGACATTTACCTAAATTTCTGTCCCATTTACTTTATAGAATGACATGAAACACTTCCCTTTACAGATGTTTAGGTTGGGGGTTAGGGCCTGGGTGACAGGGAGAAAGATAAAAAAGACTGGATTATACCTATTATGCTATCTCTTTCTAGGTCTATCTATTGCTTAACACTTAGAAAAATTTTCAATCACTATGTGAAGCAAAGACATTTCTTTTGAAGTAAGTAATAGCAACTATACAAAAGATCTGGTGCCCAGAGAAATCCAATCTTATTTAATATAGTAAATTATGCATTTGTGACTATTTTAGTTATTTTACTTTTATTTTTATGGGTATGAGTGTTTTGTCTGAATATATGTAAGTGCACCATGGGCATATAATGTCCACAGAGTTAAGAAGAGGGCATCTCCTGGGACTGGATTTATGGATGGTTGTTAGCCACCATGTGGGTGCTGCAAACTGAACCCAGCTCTGCAAGAGTAGCCAGCGCTCGTGTCTCCAGCCCCTTCATGGCTGTGTTAATATCTAGAACTTACAGATTTGAAGAGGTAGGATTTCATCATAGTAACTATGGAAATAATTTTGAATTGAGGTGAAATTTTGATTAATGCCAGTTTGTATACATGAGTTTAGCTTACTCAAATAGAGAGCAAGTCTAGTGAAGGAAGGAACTTTATATCTCTTCATAGTCCAGAGTCTAATGAAGGTCCCAGGATACTGTGGCTGGTTCAATCAATGTGAACTATATTTCATTTCATTTTGAACCTAACAAAAATCCAGAATATCATAATCCACAAAAATAAGAATATCAGCTTGTTTTACCTTAGAGAACTCTAGATTGAAATAAGCCCCATACTAGAGAATAAATAACTATACTCACTATAAGCAGAATAAATTTCATGTAAAAAGACAGGGTAATAGCAAATAGGTAACTTTGTTTAAATAAATTTATTACAGGAAAAAGCCAAAGCAAAGCCAAGCGTTGTGTCACATGCCTGTAGTGAAGGCTGAGGAAGAAGGATGATATGAGAACAGAAGTTCAAGACCAGCCTAGGCAATGTAGTGAGATCCCATCTCACAATTAATAAGTTAATTAATCAATTAATTAATTAAAACAGTTTCAGTTGCAGATTTCAGCTGAATATTGTGTCTTCCACTTATGGCATGACATAGAATTAGCTTGACTAAAATTCAGTTCCATACATGATTTCATATATACTGTGTATTATTTTTAACAACATAATTTCAAGAATCAATATGATAAGTGAGCACAGTAGAGCTGCACTCTAATTTTGGACAGGAAAGAAAAACATAGGTTTTAAAACTGGCCTGAGTCCTCCAAACAGAGTAAGGGAGGTGTGGACTGTGACAGCTCCTTCTGCCTGACTTCATTCAGCGTTCCCTCTCAACCCTGGATGATTTTTACCTTAAAAATTTGTGCTAAGTTTTATATTAACATCTCTCCCATCATAGCGTTTAGTGGACTTTATGCAGAACATCCGTTTTGTTGTGATGGTTAATCCGCGGCATTCCCGCGTCACTTGTCAGGACGAAGTGCAGCCGACACGTTACTGTATTTTTCCCCTTCTTGAACATTTAAGCTCTTATAGACTCACATTTTCCATGAGTAAAGTTAGAAAAATTTAGGCTACAACCAGTCCAAAAATATGTCTAAGTCTTGAAAGAGGAAAATCATGTCATACGAGAGTAAATATAATATTGGATCAATTCATTTAAATCCATGTGTTTTGGATGCTTCCCAAAATAAGCCTCTTGGTAATTTTTCTTCTTTGAGTTGTTTTTCATGACTCCTATTACTGCTTTGTGCTTCCCTCTAGTTGAACATCTATGTGTCGCACAGATTCCAGTTTCCCTCATTATTTTCCTTAGGTCTACAGTTAAACATTTCAAATGATTTGTTCATAATTAGGAAAGCAATAAAATCTTTATACATTGGTTTTCTCCCACTAGTTTAGTGTCTCATAAATAATTATGCTGATTTAAAAATCTACTTGCCTTTCCTCTTAATTTCATAACATGCCTGTTATTCTGATGTGCTTACTTGTGGATTTCAAATGGGCCACTGTTCATGATAAGATCAATAATTACTGTCACAATGACAGTTTTATTTCCTAATTTTCTGAGGTACTTTGATTTTTTTCCCATTCCAGATGAATTTAAATCACACAGACCTCTATTACCACCCTTTCATTCTTCTTAATGTTAATCTTTCTGATTTACTAACAGATAAGTGAAGTTTATTTAATTTGTGATGCTGGCACTCAAACCCAAGGTCTTCTGCATGCTAGGCAAATGCCTGGCCACTGATGTACATCCCAGCCTCCTGAATAATCCTTTACATACCCCTAATTATATTATTACCCATGTATCTCAACCTTTGGGAAGATGTTGGCTTTAGACTCATACTTTGTTTCCAGGAGCTGGTCTGTGGTCCCTGGAGAAAACACCAACCTAAAACCTTCTTCTCTGGGCTGCAGAGATGAAGCCACAGACTTCACTGGGTTCACAACAGTATCCTAGGCCTAACTCAGCATTCTGGACTGAGTCCTGCCCTCCACAACCCTGATGCCTGCTCTTCCCTCAAGAACATCCTGGTTTTGAGGGTATAAGTTTGTTGCTGTGAAAATAAGGGATTAAACTCAATGATCAGCAGATGCACTGGCACATGCCTAGAATGCCCACACTC